TGATCCTCTCGTATAGTCCTTGTTTGGATTCCATATTAATTAGAATTTGAGGGAAAATATATTTCGAAATATTTATTTTTTAGAAAATGTGTGATTAAAAAATAAGAAATAATTTTGAGTTCACGCGTAACATTATTTTTATGGGAGGACGTGTGATTGAAAATGAATTTTGAAATAATGTACTTAAAAAAAAGAGCCAAAATAGAGCATAAAATTGAGAAATAAACATTTTTTTATATGCTTCATTCAAGGGGCAAATTAATAACATTTTTTCCTTTTATTTATTTAATTGAGTGGTGCGTAGGGTGTAGGTTAATGGTCAAGATCATGCAGGTGAACAACCCCTTTTCTTGGTTGTAAGTCACGTGCATACGCGATCATGTACCTGCCACCTACACAATTATTTCACCAGGTTCTATTTCCGCCAGTTGTAACATTTTTCATCACCAAAAGAATAACAAATTAAAAGTAATTTAAGTTATGGTTAAATATTTTTATACCAAAAAAGTCAAAATTTGTTGAATAATATCTTACTCTTTTTTAGTATTTTAAAACTTTTTGACGGGTTGTTTTGTTTGTTATCATAGTAGTTGTCAAGGGCGGAGTCAGGAATGAAGGGTACGAGGGCTACTGGGTTGGACAGTGGAAAAAATGGATTTTAACCATTTTTTTAAAAAGAAGCTGGGCTTGGGCAAGGGTGGGCCCCAGCCCACCCCTATCTCCGCCACTGATAGTCGTGGACATTTTGGAATTTCAATGTCACGTATTTATGAAAAATTTATTATAAAAATTAAATTTAATCAACGGCTGATGGGGGTGTTAAAAGAAAGAAAATAACTATATTTTTGCTTTCAACGGTTTAAACTTTAAGATGATGTGATCACAAAATTGCTTATTTCAATGATATCCGATTCAATCCAAACCCCAAAAATAGTCGCTATTCTATTTTTGGAATTTGAAGGGAACCCAAGTGGCTAAATAATATACGAATTGATGTATTAATTACCAATGAAAATGAGAGCATTTCGACCCATGATTTTTTGGTGGCCCAAAACAATTTGCCAGTAGCATTGCCGGAAACAGTAGAGGGTGTCGGTGCCGACAATGTATCGGGTCTCATTTAACTGAAGTGGGGAAAATAATATGACTTAAGACTATAAGGGAAAATCAAGGGGGTTTCGGTAGCATAAATTTAGAGAAAATGAACAAAAATTAAGAGCAGGAGTACAGTTAACAAATCATCATCCATGACCCAATGCTGTGAATTTATGTTTAAATTTGTCAAATGACATGTTTATCCATAAGGTGCAGTGCTTCATGTTCTGTAGAAGAATAATGTTATTTATCATCATGATGATAAATCATCGATAATGTGTCAGTCTATGTGAAATAATGAGATTGAATAGTTTGTTTATATGAGGAAGGGGAAGAGAGATACACATGAGCGATAATACGTTGACACATCATCGATAATTTATTATCGTGATGATAAATAACATTACTCTCTACAGAAAGATGATTTTCCAGGGATATTCTCGAAAGGTTCCAATTATTGTTTATAGCTTACCTCCAAGTTATTGTTTTGGAAGACTTTATTATTTTTTGCTCTAGTGTTTACCTCACCATAGCACCCTTGTAATTGAAGTTAGTTCCAATATATTTTGTAGCATGTTGCCTCTTTAACAAGTTCAAGAAATATATCAAGCAATTTATTTTTGTGAGTTGATAAGATCTCACCCGATAATCCAACATAATCACGATTATAAAAGCAGTGACACGATTTACGTGCATGTATATCGTCTAGCTTAAATACCTAACATTAGAGCTCGACTTTAATATATTTAAAACATATCTACATTTTTCAGAAATCAATCTACCGACTCACAATTTTTATTAACTTTTTAATCACGGAGTTCGTTAACTTTTCTTAAAATCTAAAACACGTGACTTTTATCAAAACCAAACAAGGATTGGCGCAATTTGATTTTGCACATATTTGGTAGGATTAAAATCAATTTTTTTAAATAGATTTTTATAAAGGTTGATGAAATGTGTAATTAAAAAGTTGTGAATCCCATAAAATGTGACTAAAATTAATTATTTAAATTAAAGTTTTAATTTTAATCTCTACCAAACATGGGAGGTATAAATTATGATTTGGAGTTTTGATAAGGGAAGTTTACATAAATCCTGGTTTTACTTATACACATTTCAAAATTAAGGTTAGATGTTTTAAATTTCAAAAATCAGGTTTTTATTTAAATTAATTTATGAATTACTTAATTAATTATATGTTTTATTAATAAATATATAACGTTCACAGATCTATACAATTTGGTCACAATTCAAAAATTTTAAGGTCACAATTCAAAAATTTAAAGGTCACAATTATTTCATCGGTCACAAATCATAAAATTTTTAAGTCACAATACTTAATTAGGTCACAATTTATCAATTTATTGGTCACAATTAATAATTTTTAGGTTACAACTAATAATTTTTAGGTCACAAATTAATAATTTTTAGGTCACAATTAATAATTTTTTTGGTCACAATTAATAATTAATGGTCACATACAATCAAATCGTTTGTGACTATCACCAACGATCGTTTGTGACCACAAGTAGGTCACAAATCACACTCCGTACACACAACCACAGCCAACACCACCCAAACCCGGAACCACAGTCGCCACTACCACTCCACCGACAACCAAAACCACGATCTCACCACAAAATGGGCGATTTCGACAATCCAAAAAACCCCCAGCTACACCAATGCACACCAACACACTGAACAACACCAAAATTGCCGCCAGATCCGCCATAACCACCACATCAACCATGAAAATCACCATACCCATCCAACCAAAATCAAAATCGAAACTGAAAAAATAAAAAACGAAAAAATCAGCGAAGCAACAGCGCGATTCGCGTCGCAGCAGCTGCTGCTGCGAATCGCGTCACAGCAGCGCGATTCGCAGCATCCAAGCCCATCCTAGGTGTTTTCTACTTCGTCTCAAATTGTAAAATTAAGTTATTTACACAAATAGCACAAGATTCTGCACTCTTCTAATACGACCAAATACATAGGCTCACTGAACTCAGTTTCCTCAAAACAACAACTATAACATATTAATGTAGCAAATACGGTCTCACTGCTGATTAACTGCATAACTTTTTCATAATCCACTTTACCGTCTCACTTGGAAAACTTTTTTGCCATTTTCTTACTAATAATGTTATTTGTGGTTGACGACTACATTGGTCGCCCTACGTGACATCTTGTAATTTGCATCAAATAACAAGCTAATGCATTAATAACAAACTGACACACACGATAACTACTGCAGTCGCTGATTATGAACAACATTACTCTTTTTTTACAAGAAAAATGAACCTATGAAGATTAGAAATTAATTCGGTTTAAAAACCATCGAATCTCTCGTCGATATGACATAGATCCATAGTTTTAGCCACAAACAGAGGGAGGATTTATCCATAACTGAGCTTCCAAGAATTTTCCATATTTGGCCGACTGAAAATTGTAGCTGCCGCAAGTCACAGGCAAGAGACCGAATGTTGTGCTAAAACAAAGAAAAAGATTCATGCATCAATGGTTTTACCAACCAAAGATGTATATGCATCACAAAATTCAATATCAATGCAGTAAGGGTAAGCTGTAAGCACAAACGGGTACCTTCTTAGATATTTGAAATTTATTACGCCTGTCATTTGCGTATCGAAAGATCCACGTGCGGGTATGCAATGCAAGCAACGAAGAAAAGGAAAAAAAAGGCAGAAACTAGCATCAATGGTTCTGTAAGCATAAACATTGGAATCAATCAAGAGTGGACAAATCCAGGAATCTGAGGAAGCATATATTAAACGTAGCTGCTTTGACCATTTGGTCGTGAAAATTTTGGCATTTTTACATACACACGATAAATCAATGACAATATACTCCATACATAAAGATACCCAAATAAGTCTTGCCTCTAGTCAACAGCTAAAGGTTTTCTCAAATTTCGTTAGACCGTCTAAGAGCTCCAAATGTCATCAAATTTGAGACGTTTAGTTGAATATTCTTGTTCTCCAAATGGAATAGAACAACATGGTATCTTTATATTGATCATTTCCTCTAAAAATAATATCAATTTCAAGAATAATAGCAAGAAATCGTTATCCTATAGGTACTCGACCCAGCAGTTTCTTAAGGAGATATGGACGAGGTGTGCGTGCTGGGTTTCGATATTATTTAGTCTCTTCTAGTGAAGAAATTCATTTAGCGGATTTCAATCTCAAGATGCAATAGATATCGAATGTGTCGTGCTCTCTGATGGTTTCAAAGGGAGTGACCCCTATGCCTAGAATTGGCATAAGCCACTCAATTGTATCTAGTACAGAAATTGCCTGGAAAGGAACATTATGCTCAAGGACAACATTTTTCTTTTCCGGTACCACCATAGTCCTCCTAATAACGTCAAGGTATGAATAAGAGATCAAAATGTAGTCATGGCAGTTAACAATGCCCAGTGAGATTCTGCCAGGAAATGAAATAGAGGTTGCTTCCATGGTGAACTACAATTATACAGGCTACAATAATAAAAAACTGATGCTCCCACCAACGGTAACAATAAACAGTGTGAAAAACAGATGCTTCATGAATGGTGTGTCAAGACATCTGAAAATATAATATGGCCTGACTGCAGGCTTGTCAATTATCCACTTTTTCATTATTTATATGTGGTCAGCTTAAGTAAAGGACTCTGTTAGAATTTGCCTCCAGACTCTGTTCTACTGTGAAAAGAGCTTTGACAGACGGGTTCTTTGATCCCTTCGGAAGGACAACCTAAAGATTATCAGGCCCAGTATTAGTATATTCTTTCCCGGAAGATAAAAGCACTGAATGAACTGAACAACTAATTCATACTGTAATAAACAACTCAACACTATACAGGCTCTTATAGTCAACTTGTCAACAACTGTCTCAGACAGAGGTCATCCAAAAGTGTAATTCAGGTAACGTGAACCATCATCCGACTCGAAAAGGAAGTCTTGGAGTGGCACCCCGTATCCGATGACAAAAATGGCTTTCCAGACACCAAATGAAGGATACCGTGGCTCAATTAATAGCTCTGACTGCAAAGAAGTACGCAAATCATTATATGAAATCCGTTCTCTTTTTCTTTTTATCCTAATTTTTCTCAGTTAGAAAGCACAGTTTTCAAATAGTTTTGCTAGATATTAACAGTTCGGACTTGAGGTACAACTCAATGAGAAAATTATAGCATGTAGAAGAAGGAAGAGTCAAATGCATAGTAAAGACGAGATCAGTTTTCTAAATATAATTTCTTTCCAAAATCAGCAGCCCGAAGTAGGGTCTTGGCGTCTTGCCTTTTCCTTTTCTCTATCTCCCTCTACCTAGTGTTTTCTTGTTAAGGGATAAAATTCCACATTGAATGAAGACGAAAACATAAACCAATTTCTAAGAGTTTGAGCTACTCCTTTTAATAACGTTGACCTTTTAAGATGGAACCTCAAATCTTAATATGGTATCAGAGCCCATTAAACTCCAACGAGCAATTCGATCCGATTAAGACTAAAAAAAAATAAAAATTGAGCACACGAATTTCAAGATTGATCTACTCAAACGTGATGATGAGATATTCCCTATATCATTTTTGTCGTAAACAGATTGAACCCTTGGTGGTAGCTCTGAAAGAAGATGATTGAAGGAAGAGATACCGCTTATTGAAGGTCTCACAAAATGATGAAATTTATAAACAAAAGATAAATATAACACAGATACAAGCATTGAAGTTGGCAAAAATCTCAGTTTTAATCACAAAGCAAAGCTCATAGCCATTTTAATCTATAAATACTCGCATTATAAGGAGGTCGCCAGAAAAGAAAACTTCTGGGTGCATCTAAAATTGGCAAAAAATTATATTGACTGTAATCTTAATTCTCACATATTTGATTATTTGAAGATTGGAATGCTAAGCTACATGAGATTAGAGGTATCCAACCTTGAGAAAATGCCTCTATGCCTGGCACCAGCATGAGCTACCTTGTAACGCTCGGAACCTGAACGCTACCCCAGTGAGATACCTCATTTTCACGCTCAAGCTCCTCAACAACAGCAAATGCATTGTTGTTCTCTAAATGGATGATTACAGGAGAGTATGAATAAGGATGACGGTCCTCATAAGGTCCATATCTCAGTTCTGTACCCTAGCGGTCAGTGGGTTCAACTCTTGTGAATGATTCCACCTCAGAAGTTGGTGTCTTAACTGTTGTTGCCTGCTGTTTTATATGAAACGAAGATAGAATAATTGCACTGTCATGGTAATAAAACAATTGAGACTCTGACTGGCTCATCTCTGCCGGGAGGGTTCAAGAGAGTGTGCTAATATGTAAAGTATTTTTAATGTGATTGATTCAGCCTTGCCTAATGGTTTGAGCAGAGATATGGAGTGGTATTTGGTTCCGTTTGGTTCATCAGGGCGAGCAGACGGGTTCACTTCAAGAGGAAGATATGATTTCTCCTTCTTCTTGCCAACAGCGGCTGCCGCTTTGACCAAAGCTATATGATCAAATCGTGCAGGTGGGAAGGCAAGAAGGACTTCAGCTGCTGGAGCTTCTCCAGTATTCTCAACCTGAGACAGCCAATCAATAACGTGAATAAGCAAACCGCAATTTCTGCAGTTTTCAAGTGAAAAATTGAAACTGACTGTCCAAAAAAACTGGTAAGTGTCGTAAAACTACATGTTCCATTGAGATTTGCAAAATCAGGAGGACCCCACACTTTTAACATGGTTCATATATTTTACTGGAATCTTAATGGAAGATGTATGATGCTGACATCTTACAGAACCTTTTTCCTTACTAGACAATTGTGTAACCATTTTAACTCCAGGGCACCCACACCAGTGCCTGCACTATGTGTTTCAGTTCCTGGACCATGCTCTAACAGGATAAAAATTCTCTGGCATTAGCATTCCTCTAGAAATACCATAGAGTGATACAAAGTTAAAGCTTTTCACCCAATTTAGATCTTTACATTTCCATATTCTTCTTAATCTGAAAAGTGCAACGTATTTAGTTTTTCTTTAGACTGATCTTTTAACCAAAGCATATCCTGGATAACTTTAGCTCAGAACAAAATACTAGAAGAAAAATAATTTTATTTCATCATGGATAATGGGGAGAATTAATTATAGAAAAACAATCAAAAAGGGAAATACTTCCAGGGATCTGGAAGTATATATGAAAACTATCTCGTTTGATCACTTATTCTAATACACTTTAGCATTTTTATGAAAACAGCTGATAGATCAATGACATGAAATCATCAGTTCAAGCTCCATAGATAGAGATTACGACGCCCTTATATGTCTTGCCTCTACTCAAGATATGGATGGGGTGATTTGAGTATTATCACTTCTTTCTCTTCTAGAGTAGAATCTATGACTACCTTCTTACTAAAACCTTTACAAATTCCATCGGTTCACGATATAATTTAGAAAAATCTAAATGGCAGATGTATGATACTACCTTCCTACGAACCTTTCTCACCACTAGATAAAGGTTGACCCTTTAAACCCAAGTTGCCACCACACTAATGCCTATACCGTGTACTTCAGTTCTTGGACCATGCTCTAACAGGATAAAATTTGCTCTGGCATCCATTCCTCTAGAAATGGCAAATTCAGGAGACAAAATTCAAGCTTTACACCAAGTAACTATCGCTTCATTCACTTAAATTACCAGATTGTTCACTCCATGGACCGTTTCTTGTTGCCATTTTCAGTCTTTTTGTTGTTGCGCTTTTCTTTGCACACGGTGAAAAGTACATTCGATTTTCGGATCAACTGGTACAGTCACCGTATCTCGAATTTCACATAAAAAGCCTGAAAGAGAGATAGTAGTAACATTGAAATAAATGGATAGAAAAAAATTAAATAGAAATACAAAAATGTTCGAATTAGTGCCAAGATAACCGATGTCGATTTAAGTTTCTTCCCTTCATTTTCTTTAGTTTCTTCTTTCACTCGATTTGAGGGAAAAAGAAATTGTAATTTCTTAATAACTGAATATAAAAATGTATCTCAATCTTCATTGAACTATGCCAGAGCTACTACTTAATAACTGAACTATACACCATATTATCCATTCATCAGTCAAGTCGACGTCGTTTATTGAACCAACGGATATTTCCACTTGGGTGGTGAATGGATAACAAGATGCATAGTTCAGTTACCATATAGATACATTTTTAAGTTCAGTTACGAAATAGTAACAATTGGCAAAGTTCAATAACCATTGAAATACATTTTTAAGTTTAGTTATTAAGTGTAATCTTGAGGTTGTCTATCAAACAGCCATTGCTACTCTCGATGCATTCAATGTTTATGACGAAATGTCTCAAGGGAGGTGGCAACAGATCCTCCCCGCCAGCAAATGAAAATTAGGTAGTGATGCAGTAAGAGCCTTACTTCAAGAATTCCTCAATAGATAGGCCAGTGAACTGATGTTTGGCACGAGGGTGTAAGATACGAGGTTTTCCCCTCCAAATGCTGGTTTCAAAGCTAACCCCTTTGCTGGATAAGTCTTTAGCAATTAATCCAGCAAAGCAAATTCATGCCCAGATACTCATCAATGGTTTCAGTGATCTAGAACCTCAATTAATTGGTCGAATTCTTGGCTCTGCAAACCATTATTCACGAAAAACGACTGATTATGTAAAATTAATAATCCATCGTATGCAAAACCCGGATGTTTTTTCTATGGCATGCACCATTCGGTTTCTTTCTCAACACGGTCAATTCCAAGAAGCTGTTGCTATGTATTTGCATTTGCATAGTTCAGGACTTTCTCCGAACACGTTTGCTATATCATCCGGCCTGAAGGCTTGTGCCAGGATTTTATGTAATGTAGGAGTTATGATTCATGGTCAAGTACACAAGTATGGTTTTTGTAATGTTGTTTATGTTCAGACAGCTCTTGTGGACTTCTATTCGAAAATGGGTCATATGGACACTGCACGTCGGGTGTTTGATGAAATTCATGGGAAGAATGTTGTCTCTTGGAATTCGATGTTAGCGGGGTATATGAAATCGGGAGATTTAGCAATGGCTCAGAGTGTGTTTGACGAAATGCCAGAGAAGGATGTGATATCTTGGAATTCAATGGTTTCTGGTTATGCGATGGCCAGGAATATGGAGCAGGGATATGCATTGTTTCGGCAGATGCCAGAGAGGAATTCTGCTTCCTGGAATGCTATGATCTGTGGGTACCTAGATTGCGGGAAGATAGAATTAGCACGCAGCTTTTTTGATGCGATGCCCCAGAAGAACAACGTTTCTTATATCACAATGATTTCCGGGTACTCAAAATGTGGGCGTGTAGAGCCTGCCGAAGAGCTATTTGGTCAGATGGGAGAGAAAGATCAGTTTTTGTACAACGCTATGATAGCGTGTTATGCCCAGAATAGCAGGGCAAAAGAGGCCCTTCAGCTTTTCAACGAAATGCTTAAGCCTGATGTCAACATTCAGCCAGACAAAATGACTTTGGCTAGCGCTATTTCTGCTTCCTCCCAGCTGGGAGATTTAAAATTCGGGACTTGGATTGAGTCATTCATGAAGGAAATGGGAATTGTAATGGATGATCATTTGGCTACCTCTTTCATAGACTTGTATGTGAAATGTGGAAGCATTGATAAAGCTTATAAGCTGTTTTATGGCCTGCGAAACAAGGATTTAGTTGCTTATACTGCAATGATTTTGGGATGTGGTATCAATGGCAGAGCAGAGGATGCCATCAAGCTGTTTGAGGAGATGATGGATTCTGAGATCAATCCGAACTTGGTTACTTTCACGGGAATATTAACTGCCTATAATCACGTCGGTTTGGTTGAAGAAGGCTATCACTGCTTTACGTCCATGAGGAAGTATGGACTCATTCCATCAGTTGATCATTATGCTATTGTGGTGGACCTTTTGGGTCGAGCTGGACGATTACAAGAAGCACACGAGTTGATTAAGAGCATGCCAATGCAGCCTCATGCTGGTGTTTGGGGTGCATTGCTTCTTGCTTGCAGTTTGCACAACAATGTAGAGCTTGCAGAAATTGCTGCTGAGCATTGTTTTGAATTGGAGCCTGACAGTAGTGGTTATTTTTCTCTTCTTGCCAATATTTATGCCTCGGCTGGGAAATGGGCAGACGCCAACAGGTTGAGGAAAGCAATTGAAGAAAGAGGTCTTATCAAATTACCGGGGTCCACTTGGATGGAATCTACCAATACTTAGCCTTGTTTGAGCCCCATTTTTCTCAAACTCATTTTCAACCTCACGTTCTCCCGATAATTTCATGCATAAATTCGAAAATTTTCCCAACATTCTCCAAAAAAATCCTATTTTCCTAAAAAATGAGGCTCAAACAAATCCTTAGTCGTGCCACAATGTCCTAGCTGGAGCAAATAACCTGTCATCAGCTCTGTTGTGTTGTCTAGAGCTCCGAGAAAGTCAGAATTGTATAGGGTCTCCTTTAGAAAATAAAAATAAAAATAAAAAAATACGAGTTTGTTTTCTCTCTTCATCCTGGCAGGCTGCTTTATGCATTTCACAGTAATTTACTCGAGGACTATGAAAGCAGGGACAAAGTTAAAATTGTACAAGGAACATTTTAGACTTCAAATTTAGCCCCGTTTGGCCCCATTATTTGTGATTATAATTTTTGAAATAGTGTTTCTTTTAAGGATGTGTGGTTAAATAAAAAAATAAAAACAATTTGGGTTTACGTATAATATTATTTTATTAAAAATGTGTGATTGATAAAATGAGAGAAAAATAGATTATAATTTTAACGAGGGCTTAGAAATTAACTTGTTTATAAACATGCTTTTAGTTATTTATATAAAATAACTAAAAATAATATTTTTAAATAATTATAAAAATAAATAAATCAATTAAAATTGGAATTAGAATTGGAATTGGGTTCCCGATCTTTGAAATCTATACTCAAAGAGGACAAATTACAAAATAATCTCAAATTTTAATACACGCCTTCTTCGTTTTTCAAAAAAAAAAAAAAAAAATACAAATTCAAGTTTGAATAATGCAAAATCCTCTTAGATTTATGACTAATTTTCCTTATTTTAGGTTTTATATAAAAAATAATAATTGACCATGTAAATTTTTTAAATTAATTAATTTTAATATTGTCTATAGGCTAATGGAAGAAAAACAATTTAAACAAGAAACGAAAACGTGGGAATCAAACCAACCCGAAGCCTGTATCGATTGCATACATACACATAAACGTGTAACCTACGGAGACAATAATCAATCAATTAAACGCTGACCCCATCTTTCTTTGAGAAGATTTTTGTTCTTCTTCTGCTCACAGTTTCTCATCTTCGAAGCCAATGGCAATTGTGGGTAATCATTGTTTTTATGCTTACTCACTCAAATCCCACGTTTCACCTTTCTGGAATTTCAGTCCAAGTTTCAGCTCCAAGCTCTCGTCTCTTTCTATTGCCAGGAAAAAGCCCAGACCATGTCTTCAAGGTAGAGTCTTCAATTTCAGTATCACGTCCATTTTTCCCTTTTGCCCAGAAATTTTATTGAACAAGTATAGAAGAAAATTGCACTTTTATTTCCAAGTGATTTTAAGCTAATTGTAGGTTTGTTTATTCTAGGGATTGTTAAATGAAAGCTGGTTTTTACCTTTTGCGCATAACTAAAGTTCAGGTAGAAATGGACTCGGCATATGATTAGTAGCACTTGAATCAATGACTGAATGTGTTTTTGTACTAGAAGAGGCGTTCAAAGCTGAGTAGAAATTACATTTTTGGTCTAGAGACAAAGAAGAAAGGGATTACCAAATTGAGATTAATTCAAAAATCTATTCTGAAGAGTGGTGTTTGGTATTTTTTTTCTCCATTTCCCAGCTGACTGTGGTCCATGAGCGGCATCCTGGGCCATATCAGATCACAATAGAACATTCGGAATCTCACTGGACTTAGATTACCCATCATCACAATTCCTTGACTAGTTGACTTTCTTCCCTGCAAACCTCTGTAAATACATATATCTTCAACGACTTCTTGGAAATAAAGGCTGATGAAAAAATTCCCTGTTTCTCCAACAAAGACAGGTTGGTTCGAGAAACCTTATTTTTCTAGCCATAAACAATATCATCAATTCCACCACATGGCTTTTCCTCCATATGAAATTAATATCCTATCTAAAAGCTCAAGAGAGGGGGTGCATTTTTATATTTTTATTATCAACAACTAACAAATGATTCTAAATTTGTTTTCTTTAAGTCACTGAAAAGATAAATTTGAGACGAAAGCAAGATGAAGAAACATGCTAGATGTTATTGGCTGTAACTAATAACCATTACAAGAGCATAATGGTTAGTGGGACTGTCCATATTTCTCCCAATTAACTGCTTACTGTGTTGGGCTTGAACTGGTTCGTATGTGATTGACATAGAATACCATGTTAAATGAAGATGATCGGTTGACATTCTTTCTTACTTTAGGTCATGTACCCTAGATACAAATGTTACCTTAAAAATAAAAATTAGAGCTTCGTATTCATAATTGACTACCTTATTCTGTCATTTAGGGTCAAATTCAGAGGTTGAAGTTGTGTTATCTTTTGTTCCATTTACTATAACCCAAATAAAATTTTATTTGCATTAGAAAGCAAACCGTCGAATTTGGGTTCAGTCACTTTGTGAGCCACTGTAGTTCTGGAAATATTGTTCTGCGAGAAGGTTTTCTCATATATTAGCTGAAGGGTAATGCAAATTATCATTTAGTATATTCTTTTTGCCAGTGAGATCAGTTGCTGCTCCGACTGAAGCTATTGCTGGCTTCGATGAAATGGTCTCGGGGACTCAACGCAAGTATTACATGTTAGGTGGAAAGGGAGGTGTTGGAAAGACGAGTTGTGCTGCATCCCTTGCTGTAAAATTCGCTAACAACGGTCATCCCACTCTAGTGGTTTCAACTGATCCTGCACATTCCTTGAGTGATTCTTTCGCCCAGGTTGCGAATGATTATTGCTTTAGTTTCAATTTTTCAATCAACTCTCGATTTTTTTATTTTTTATTTTTGTCACAGAATTTATATGTCTGTCTTCCTTCTGATGCTTATCATGCAGGATTTAACTGGAGGAACTCTAGTACCAGTTGAGGGACCCTATTCTCCTCTGTTTGCCCTTGAGGTGTGTGGAGAAAATTAGTTTCTATTAGTGATCGTCTTGCTATCTAAATGGTGACTTTTTATTATCTAAAGAAACAACCTTTCTTGTTCCTTAACCAGCAACTTTGAATATGTTATTGTGGCAGATAAACCCTGAAAAAGCAAGGGAAGAATTTCGAAGTGTCAGCCAGAATAATGGGGGAAGTGGAGTCAAAGACTTCATGGATGGAATGGGACTTGGGATGCTTGCAGAACAGGTAAACCTTGTCATGCTCAGGGTATACTTATAGTTGCTTATTATTTTTATTCTTGATCAAAATAGCAGAAATGAGTGTGCTAAATTCAAGTATAAGCTGATCAGGTTTTCAAATAGTGCTGGCTACGCCAAAAAAAAAGTACCCTCTATGATTAAGATAAAAAAACGAGTGCTCTGTTTAGATAATTCATCCTTAACCAAGGCGTGCTTCTGTTTTCTGCATTTATCCGCTTACCAGCTGTGCAAAAGAGTTATTTGTCTACTGATGATCTTTAGTGAGAATGGACCGGACATTGTAGAACTTGAAGGCCCTATATGTGCATATCAGAGAAGTGGAATGAACTGTCAGTCCTATAGTCTATTATTAATATAAATGAATGTAGTCACCTTTTTTCCTTGAATTATTACGTGTGTAATCTACTGCTCAAATGAATACGAAAACCTTCACTTCTTCCTGCTCAGAAAATTGATTTACCTTAAGTGTCTTCGTTAATGGTGCAATACAAATGCTGAGGGAAAACATCACTGCAAGTGCTAGCTTGAGTGATAAGTTTTTCACCGTTTAATTTCTTTAGGAATTGCTATTGGAACATGGTGTTCCTAGATTCTTTTTTGGTTATTGCATCTTTACGGAGTAGTTGCCCATTGAACCTAACTGAGAGCCCTTGTTACTAGGAGAAAACTGAATAAGATGACAGACACTTTTTGGCTTCTGGTACTCTGGTTGAAGGTTTAGTGCCCGGAAGGTTTTACCTCTTCAGTCATCTGCTGCTCTAAAATTCCTGCTCTCACCACATCTGGCTGCTAATGATTAGCAATCAGATACATAGACAATAGGTTGTATGGACCCAGTTTTGCAAATGAACCTAACTCATTTAAGCTTTTCTTTTTTCCAATTCCATTTGTTGATCCTGGTTGAAGAGAAAGTATTTCAAATCTTGGTGAAAATATCTTCCTTCAAATTCACTGCATACCCACGTGCATATGCATGCATGAATAGAAGGGAAGCGAAAAACTCTTATCCCTTGCTGACTTTTCTGGTATTGCCGAGTCTTCCAATTTGTAATATTATTAAGGTTCTATGTCTTCCGCTGATCAAATTAGTTGCGATGTGTAACGCCCCAATTTTCCATTAACACAAGGCGCTACTTAAGTCGAAAAAAAAACTGTAAATAAGTATTTTCAATAAACGCCAAAATGCGTAAAAAAAATAATTTTCAACTATACTAGAGTAGAAATAAATGCGGAAACGTCATTTGAATAATTTGCTCACATCCAAGTGTCAATACCAATATAATAAGGAAAGTGCCACGATTTGTAAAAATACTAAAATTGGGATTAAATTGACAAAATGAAAAACGACTATTAAAAGACTTGTTTCAAAAATTTATAAATTAAATTGTCTATTATTTAACCATGATTGCCCCGCTCATTGTCTTGCCTTGCCTTGCCTAACTCCTTAACCTGAGAGGGTGGAAAAATATTGGGGCGAGCATAACAAATTATACTCAGTGGGGAAATAGCAATCAATCCAAGTTAAATCTAAACACGAAATTAAATTATGAATATAATACTAATACAACATACTGTAGAAATATGTATTGTGGGA